TGTTAAAACTTTTATTTACTAGACCTAGCTTTCGTCAAGAGCTCTTGACATCATCAGGGTATAAACAGCAGTCGTTGGGAGGGCTATGACACGATCCAAGAGCCGGGCGCAAATGATTGGAGGCTGCATATAAGCCCTCCCAATGATTGCCGTTTACACCCTGATGATGTCAAGAGGTCTTGACGAAAGCTAGGTTTAGTAAATAAAAGTTTTAACATTTTTAACTTTTGTATAATTTTATTCTCTTGGTGTTCGACTATTTATTGATTTTAACATATATATATGTATGTGTGTGTGTTTCTGTGCGTGCGTGCGTGTGTGCATGTGTGTGTGTGTCTTTGGTTGTTCGGGTTTTCTCCCGCGTAAAATTGGAAGTGTCTAAGCGACGTTTCGACAAAGTCCCATTCGTCATCTTCAGGCTGGTGTTTTCAGCTTCGTGCTTCAAGGAGCAATGTGTGGTCTTAGCTGTTTCTTCCTTTTAACTGCCAGTGGGGATATGAACTGATTGGCTGGGAGCTTGGCTGTGTTCTGATTGAGTAGAGGTGTGTTCTGATTGGTTAGGGGCTTGGCTGTGCTCTGATTGGCTGAGGGGTTGGCTGTGCCCTGATTGGCTGGGGGGTTGGATGTGCTCTGATTGGCTGGGGGAGTGTTCTGTTTGGTTGTGCTCAGGTTAGTCTGAGTTGCAGGGGGGTTTAAGATGTTGGGCTGCCTTGCTATTTTTTGGCTTTGCGTTTGTGGTCGTGCCTCCTCTTCATGGAGGGTGACAGTTTGCTTCATGTATGGATTGGAGGGGTTTAAAGTGGCTAATGATGCAGCTGTGGTCTGGCTTCTGGTTTGTGGTCGTGCCTCATCATCGGTGTCGCTTTGGGTTTGCTTTTTGAGTGGATGTGTGGTGGTGACATCCTGTGTGGTTTTTGTGAGTGTGGGTCTGGTATCATTTTTTGTGTTAGGGAGTCGTTTGTCAATAAGGGCGGGTTTCCAAATGGCTGGTAGGCGGGAGGTATCATCTCGCTTGTTCATGCTGTGTGGGCGTTTTTCTATCTCGATGGCTTCTCTGATTATTCTGTTATTAAAATGTTCACTTTTGGCAATGGTTCTGGTATTTTTAAAGTCAATTTCATGTCCTGTGGCTTTAAGGTGTTGGACCAGGGAAGATGTTGGTTCCTCTTTTTTGACTGAGTTCTTATGTTCTTCAATGCGTGCACTTATTCTTCTGTTGGTTTGTCCGATGTATGTGGTGGGACAAGTGGTGCATGGGATTTCATATACTCCTTGATTTTCTAATCTTTGGGGTTTCTAAGGATGGTGGATATTTTTCTGTTTGTGCAGAATGCTGTTTTGATGTTGTGTTTATGGAGGATCTTACTGATTCTGTCTGTGGTGCCTTTTATGTATGGGAGGAGGGCTTTGCCGTTTTCTTGTTCTTTGTCTTGGATTTTAGTGGGGGTTTCTTTTTGGATTAGATTTGTAATCTTATTTCTTTGGAATCCATTGGATGTTAGTACATTGGTGAGAGTGTGTAGTTCGGTTTTTAGGTGTTGTTCATCAGCTAAGCATTTTGTTCTGGAGATGAGTGTCTTGCCTACGGAGTTGATCTGTGCTGGGTGGTGGTGTGAGAGAGCGTGCAGATAGCGGTTTGTGTGTGTTTTCTTCTGGAAGATGGTGTATCCTAGGGAGCCATTGGGTTTCTTGTAGACTAAGACAACCAGGAAGGGAAGTTGGTTGTTAGCTTCTGTTTCCATGGTGAACTGTATTTTGGGGTGTAGGCTGTTGAGGTGTGTGAGGAAGTTGTCCAGTTTTTCTTTCCCATGTGGCCAGATTATGAAGGTGTCGTCTACGTATCTGAGCCAGAGTTTGGGTTTGTGATCTGATTTTTCTAGAGCTTGGGTTTCAAAGTGTTCCATGTAGAGGTTTGCAATAACAGGTGAGAGGGGTGATCCCATGGGTGCTCCTTCTGTTTGTTTGTAGTTTTGTCCATTATAGATGAAGTATGTGTTGGATAGGCAGTGGTTGGTCAGATCTAAGATGTGTTTGGGGGGGGTTATATTTGTTTTAGATAGCTATCAAGGCTTCTTTGATAGGCACTTGGGTGAAGAGGGATATAACATCGAAGCTCACGAGTAGGTCGCTGGGCTGTAAGTTTTGTTTCTTTATGATCTCTATAAACTGGAATGAGCTTTTACATGTGAGGTGACAGATTCTGCATAGGGCTGTAGTTGTTTGGCGAGAAATTTGGCTAGGTTTTGTAAAGGTGAGCCTATGGAGCTGGCTATAGGTCTGTGTGGGGTTCCTTCTTTGTGTATCTTGGGGAGACCATAGAGTTTGGGGCATCTGGATGATTTCTCTCTGGGAATGATTCTTTGCTGGATCTCTTCGCTAATGGGGGAGGCTTTTATTTTGGATCCCATCCTCCCTCACAGCCACACATGAAACAAAGAGTGCATAACATCTCAGATAGGATCCTCACCAAAGCCGAAACCAATGTCCTTTCCAAAGGATTCAACTTTGCAGTCGCTCCCAAACACATCCCCACTGAAACCATTATATGTGGAGTTGAAACCAGCCTGACCAAAATCAACCCCGATGACGCTAACAGAATCAGACTCGAAATCACCAACATCCTCTGCACCAGGAAGCCACCCAAAAGCAACTTATCCAAAGAGGAACAGACAGCACTATGTAACCTGAAAGAAGACACCAGCATAATAATCCTACCAGCAGACAAGGGCAATGCCACAGTGGTTATGAACACATCTGACTACCAAACCAAATTAACCAACCTACTCCAAGACTCCACATACAAACTCCTAAACACAGATCCCACCACTTACCTGGAAAAAAACCACCAGATCCCTTCGTTTGCACCCTGATGATGTTGGCAGGAGCCAACGAAAGCTAGGTCTGCTTTTTAAAAAACTTTTAAATGTTTTATATTTAAACTTTTAACATTTTATAAAACTTTTAATGTTTTAACTCTTCCTGGTGCTCACGTTTTATTTCCTAATATGCATACACTCAGGAATCATTCTTTTATTTTTAGCATTATATATATATTAAAATCAATAAATAGTTGAACACCAAGAGAATAAAATTATACAAAAGTTAAAAATGTTAAAACTTTTATTTACTAAACCTAGCTTTCGTCAAGAGCTCTTGATATCATCAGGGTGTAAACGGCAGTCGTTGGGAGGGCTTATATGCAGCCTCCCAACGACTTGCCGTTTACACCCTGATGATGTCAAGAACTCTTGACGAAAGCTAGGTTTAGTAATAAAAGTTTTAACATTTTTAACTTTTGTATAATTTTATTCTCTTGGTGTTCAACTATTTATTGATTTTAATATGAACATACCCAAGAATCATATTTTACTTGCATAGCTGATTATATTATATATATATATATATATATATATATATATATATATATATATATATATATAATCAGCTATGCAAGTAAAAATATGATATATGTATGTATGTATGTATGTATGTATGTATGTATGTTTTCTGAGGTTTTTGCAGGTGTTTGTATATAGATCTTTGGTTATTAGGTGAATTTGTGGAAAATCAGCAGCGTTAATATAAATGCCCTTCTCTGTTAATGTGATTTTGTTGATTCCATTCTCAGGTTGCTTCAGTGCCTTTTCTGAGTAGATTGTGCATATGTTATCTTGCTTGATGAGATGGAGAAAATCGAGGTAGATTGAACCAGCCCAAAATGAATTTTAATGAATGATGATTGAACTTATTCATAACGTATCTTTGGAATAGAAATAGGGGTGGTTTTTTTTGAGTCATTACAGTTACAAGAGCATCTCTGAAGTCTTGAAGGGGGTCCAGAGGTTTATTTTCGGTTCATGCTGGGTGGTAATGCAGAAATGCATGCACACTGTTCAGATTTATAGCTTTATCTCTTTGGATCAATAACCTAATTATTCTACATGGTAGCATGTTGAGACATTGTCCTGTAGAAACAGTTGAAATGGAAAATGATTTCTCCAAATACTCTATAGATCAAGTCCAGCTGCATTTTCTTTTTTGGTGCTTTGCCCCTTTTGTACATTCCCCCAACCAACCCACTGTCTTCAGTTCTAACAGCTACATTATCTACTGGAACAAAAATAGCAAGAAGTATGTCTGAAATGTCTCATTCAGTGAATGTGCTGAACATGGCCTTTGTTCTCAATAATTTAGCAAGTAGAATTTCTATGGGATGAGAAAAAATCCAATTGGTTCTGACAGGCTGGCCTTTCCATTGACTACATCTTGGTCATTATCATGTCATGCGCCCCCCCCCCTCTCTCTCTCTCTCTGTGTGTGTGTGTGTGTGTAAGGTAAGATAAGATAACCTTTATTGTTATTTTTTACTGTGGGCACACTGGCACATATTAAAAATGAAATTCTGTTGCTTACTCTCAAAAGTGTACACATACATAACACACATATAAATATGCTATATACAACATATGTATATACCTACACCCTTACATATAAGCAGTGTGTCATACAACCCACCTTGCCTACCCTACAAGGTTCCATTCAAAAAAGGTGCCGGAACTCCGTTCTGGGCGTTCTATGACAAAAAAAGCCCTGCATATAAGTAACATATAAATATTAATCACTTCCATCTTGAAATACATAGTGGAAGGAGGAAACTTGAGAGTTCACAAAGTTGATACTATATGGAACAAAACTGTAACTGAATCTGGATGCCCTGCTTCGGATACCACAGAGCCTCCTCCCAGGAGGTAACAAGGAAAACATGTTGTGAAGAGGATGTGTAGTGTCCCAGACAATCTTGTGGACCCTGCTCAAGCAGCGCTTCTGTGCTATATCCTGGATGGGAGGGAGGGAACTGCCAATGATCTTTTCGGCCATTCTCAACACTCTCTGCACCGCCTTCCCATCTGAAGCAGTGATGCCTCCAAACCAGACTGTGATGCTGTATGACAGGATGCTCTTGATCATCCCTCTGTAGAAAGCGGGAAGGACAGGGAAGGAAGATGTACTTTTCTCATGCGATGCACAAAATGCAGGCACTGCTATGCCTGCTTCACTGCTGTGTCTCGCTGTTGAGCGACCAAGGCAACCTACTCATTAACTGAACACCCGGAAATTTGATGTTGGTAACCATCTCAACAGGTGAATTATTAATAACAAAGGAATGTGGCTGTGCCTGCCTGTGCGTGCGTGTGCATGTGTATGTGCGTGCGTGCATTTAGCTTACTGACTTGCAAGAATTTACCTATAGCTATCAGCACCATAACACCATAACTATGGTGAATAGTTGCCGACTTCTTGCATTTCACCAATGACTTCAGCATCCATCCATCAAGATTAAATATGTTAATCTTTAATTACCATCTTGTGCTTTTGATGACATTTCTATCTCGTTGCAGTAACACTCCAGGGCAGCTTCTTCTTATTTTTTTTCAATATGTGCAAGAGTCTAAAACCAGCGAAAGCCTGTGGCAATAGATAAGAACTAGAAGACAGTGGTGGTGATAGATGTAGTTGTGCCAAGTGACAGCAACATCAGGAAGAAGAAGTATGTGAAGCTTGAAGGAGGCTTGAAGAAGGAACTAGAGAGGATGTGGAAAGGGAAAGCCAAAGTGGACCTGTGTTGGTAGAAGCACTGAGGGTTGTGACTCCTAAGTTAGAGAGTGTTTCTAACAGATATTCTGCGCAGAAAAGTACAGTGCTAACACCAGCTAAAATACTGCATAGAATACTCCCAGACCTCTGGTAGAGGATCCAAGATTGAGGTAGGCACATACCACATCTAGGGGTAAGAAGGAAATTTTTTAATGTAGTCATATATAAATATTTTTTCTTTAAATCTTAGGTGGATGCCTGGAATCCTATGAAACATTATTGTGAAAGATAATCTTTGGGTTTAAGATAAAAAAAGGTCTTCCACGGAGGGACAAACGTTCTAGAAACATTGGAAGGACTATAATATTTACAGTGCCTCCACAACACCCCATTCAGCCATCCCAGTTCCCGCCCTCAAGGAAATCCAACCCTGATGGAACACAGTGCTGGTGTTGTCCTAGGAATTTCTACAGAAATCTATCATAGAGGGGAAAGATGGAACTAAATTAATCACACTCTCAAATAGCTGAACGCTAATGTAAATGATATTTTATCGAGGTTGAGTAAGTGGCTGAAGATGATAAAAATATTGTACAGAAACCAAAGCTCTCCATCTGTAGATATTCATTAAATTGACCATTAATAATTTGTGGTAAAGAGGAATAGAATTGCATTCATAAATTTTCTATGTAGATTTTATTAAGCTGGCACATTATATGAATTGATTCCATGACATAGTTTGGATTGTAGCTTTAAAGATAATACTTCTTTATGAGCCTTTCTATAGAATTCTATTATTATACTATTGCAGTCTCTTTTTATCTTTTTTAATACCAGTGTGCAATTAGGAAATATAATTATGGACTTGTATTAGTGATCTTATAATATTGTGTCAGTATTTTCACTACAAACTCTGTTGCTAAGATTTATAAATTGAGCATTAAAATATACTCAGTCTTGACATTGTGTTTGGAAGTTTCCTAACCTGAAAATGAAGCATTTCTCCATTTTACATTTTCCCTGGGGAGCAACAGAGTTGGTAAAAACTGAATCAAAATTCCAGATATATTTCTCAGCCAACATTAGTGTTTCAGAAATAGTCTGTGCTCTCTAGCTAAAACTGAATTTCTTTATCTTCAGAGGATGGCCCCATTGCTTTTTAAACAACAAGCTTCACCACAGACCTGGATAATAAGAGCAACAGGATCTCGATACTATAGTTTGAAAAAAAGTAAGTTAGGCAATTTCCTAACTGTGGTGAACTCTAGAGTTAGGAAAAATAGGTAGCCACAGATCCAATTTAAAACTCAAACAAGTCATTCAAAACATCACTGACAGCAAAAAAAAAAAAGCAACATAATTATTGCATTCCTTAGAATAACTATTGAGTGGAGAACCTCTCTGCACACCTTCCTATTTTGTTAGGTATAGTAGATCTGACATCTGCACTGACCATATGGCCAAAGGAAAGACAGGTACAATGGATTCTTTACTCCTTTAATGAATCAGATATGTCCCTTTCCATCTCAGTTTATTGTATAGGTTTGTTGTAAAGATCAGAGAGATTAGACTCCTTGCATGCCATTAAATTGTTACAGGACAGATGGGCTAATAATACCTTAGACTTCTTACATAGCTGGTTAATGGCCAAAATCTAGCCCTTTATTCGGATATTCCAATCTTTGCACTGCAACTATCCTGCTTCCTGTTTCAGTCACATGGGCATAAATTGTTTCCTGGGAGATGATCAGTTTTCCTTCAAGGCTGCAATGTTAACAATAAAGCAAGGAATGTCAACAAAGCAAAGGCTTGCCTGTAAAGTTTGTTTTGAACAGAAACATGCAGAAGTTTGCTGAAGTCATCTAAAGAAGGTCCAAGTTTCAAACAGCTGGGTTAAGGTTATGAGCCAGTCCAAGAGTCAGAGGTTCTAGAACAGAATCCACACAAAAGACATTCCTAAATTAGAGGTTAGAGAGATGATCTTTTCAACAGAGAACAGAGCTATTTCTTAAAGAGTTAGCTGTTACTAATTAGGTTTGCTTCTTTGCTTGGCAAGGAACCTAATAGACCTTTGCTATTGTGCTCTTCCCTCTACTTATCTAGTGCATAGGCTAAGAGGACTTATGACATGCTCCTTGGACTTTTCCAGCTGCTAAGGTAGTGCCCATGTTTGATTAGTAATCTCTGGCTTTCTCCTTCTTGAGAATGATATTCCACAGGCTCATGTGAGCAGCTTCAATCCTGATAGAAGAAACTATCTACAGCAGTGGTTCTCAACCTTTTTAATGCCGCGACCCCCAACCAGTTGTAAGTTGAGGACTAAACCGGTCGTAAGTCGAGGACTAAACTGGTTGTAAGTCGAGGACTTTCCCTGCCCGGGAGCGCCGTGCATGCATGGTGCCGCCCCCTGCACCGGCCGAGGCGTAGCTGGCAAGCGGCAGAGACGAAGCAGGCCGACCACTGGCTGGGCCAACAGCTGGCCCAGCCCAAGGGAGGTAAGGCACCCGCCGGAAAAGGGGAAAAATGGCAGACAGCCTTGCTTGGCGACCCCCGTGAAATGGTCGATTTACCCCAAATGGGGTCGCGACCCATAGGTTGAGAACCGCTGATCTACAGTTATGATCTACAGCAGGGGTATCAAACTGCCGGCTCACGGGCCGGATGCATCATAGTGAAACCGTGCCCACCCCATTGCCGGCAATGGCAAAAAAAAGTCCTAATACGTTGTGACACATCACGTAACATTGCAAGTTTGACACCCCTGATCTGCAGGGACATTTTAATTAGTTATAGTTAGCTAATTGGACTTCGTATAGTCTGAACCAAAAGTTACTGAGCAGATTAAAACATAGTTAAAAAAAAATCCCAGAGATGAACTTCAAATTCCACCCCAGGACATTTTTAGCTACCAGTTAGAGTTACAGGCTCTGTGGAATAGGACCATTTTGGCTGCTTTTCAAAAAGCTTGAGGGAGGGGACTGTACATACATCTGAAGACAATAAGTGTCCTTAGTGTGAGGCCACAACTGCAAAAGCCTGCATCTCTCTTTCAAGGAAGCACTGATAATTTCCCCAATTCCTCTACTACTTACAATCCCTTTGACTGGCCATAGAAATTAGGAGGGGCATGGATCCAATTTACAGGTAGCTGAACTAATCCTGCAAAGAACCTTCTATCCTTACTTAAGTGTATAAGCTCAAAGAATCCCAGGTAATATCCATAAACTCAAGATTAAGTCTAACTTACAACATTAGTTACTCGCTAATAATGGATGCTAACTTGCATCCAAACCACAAAAGATATGAACAATTTTATCAACATCCATCATGCCTGCAAACCTCATTCTCTACCCTTCTGGCACTAAAGGAGCTCTAGTTCTGGACTTTTAGGAGGTAGAGTTTAGATACAGTAAGTTAAAATTATGAGTTTTTCTCAAGGTTCAGTCAACTATTTCTGATTTCTTGCTGCTGTTGTTTTATATGATTTCAAGCACTTAATTTCTCTTAATTTAGTTTCAGAGAACTATCAGGCATGACATAGAACTGCTTACCAAATCCTTGGGGAAACCACCAAGTGCCTGCAGAACCCTTTATGCATCTGGAGTGGGTCAGCCAAAAAGATCTGTCACCCAAGTGGACGTCAAGGGTAGCTGTAAGGCACAGGTTGATGGGGAAATGATTTGACCATGGCAAAGGACAGATATTGATGTTCTCCATTTTCAGCTCATGACACTTCTTTCCAAAAAGGATACCCATATCAAGCATGTGCTGTATATTGGGACTGTGGAGGCCAGGGACTCAGAAACTACACTGAACCTCTCCCCCCTCAAGAAATGAAAATTAAGGCAGAGTACAAACAGAGCTCTAAAAACTCTAAGATGGCATCTAGAAGTTGATGAACAGCCTTTGCTAGCAAACTAAGCAGTTCATACACTAGCAATGACTCTAACTCAGGGGTCTTCAAACTTGTCCCTTTTATGACTTGTCGACTTCAACTCCCAGAATTCCTCAGCCAGCATGTCTGGCTGAGGAATTCTGGGAGTTGAAGTCCACAAGTCATAAAAGGGACAAGTCTGAAGACCCCCTGCTCTAACCTATCCCTACAGCCCAATTCCAATGATAGGGACTCCAACCAATCATCTCTCTGAAATTCTAGAGAGCAGCTGCAGAGATAAAAAAAATGTAACATTGGTAACAGTAGTTTCCTCTTTACCTGAACTGCAGGCAAGGGAAAGAGATATGATTGTTCAGGAATCCAAACATTAAATGTTAATTCAATTGTGGTAATAGAAGAACTCATTCCTAATTTTTTGCTGTTTCATAAAAGAATAACTTTTCTGTCCTTAGGGAAAAATATACATTTTAAAAAAAACCTTTTTTGTCCATAGGAGAAAAATAAAATGTTGGCTTCATTAAATAATTGGCATGCTGCTTCCCAGGGCTGACCTTTCTTCAAGAGAAATAAGAAGTAGAAGCCGAAAAACAGGGCTACTATGCCTGGCTCTTTCCAGCCTGATTGTTAAAACCTCCATCTCACCATGTAGCTTTCTTGAAAAATGAGTTTTCCTTTACTTATTTCTTGAGCAAAGAGAAGTAGGCAAGCTCCAGGCTTTAATTATTGACTCACATGCTCTGAAAAATAAATAGAAAGGCCATTTCTATTAAGCCAAGACTTTAACGCCCACAGTAATATCAGAATTTCCTGGGAATTTTGTAATTAGACTAGAAACATAATGTTCCAGAATGCATACACCTCAAAAGGATATGTTCCACCACTAAGTGGATCATGCCGACATTTGTTAAATCACCAAACGAAGAAAATGCAATATGTTAGTGGAACAAGCAGAAATCTGAATTCTTATTATTTGATAATGAAAGCTATTTGGGATGATTTTTTAAGATGTACATGACAACCCAGGACCTCTTGGGTCATCTTTTCAGAGATATTTCCTTACCTAAACAGAGAAATAGAATGACCACATGTGGATTGCTATTATTTTTTAAAAAAATAAAAATAAAGAAGAAAACATCATTTTATTAAAGAAGACCGTAGAGCAAGATAAATATAGATGGTTTTTGTTCAACAAAGGACATTTTGATGGCAACATTTGTGGTGTCTTTGCCATTCTTTAAGAATACATTAATGTTTTGACTTCTTTTTCCTCAGCTTAGAGCAGGGGTGTTCAAACTTGGCCCTTTTATGACTTGTGGACTTCAACTCCCAGAATTCCTCAGCCACCGTGCCTGGCTGAGGAATTCTGGGAATTGAAGTCCACAAGTCATAAAAGGGCCAAGTTTGAACACCCCTGGCTTAAAGCAACATGCAGATGACCACGCTGGAGTAATAGTTTCTCCAGATTCCAGAGAGTACATTCTCCATGGTTTGTCCTTGTGCATTACTTATAGTGAGATTAAAGCATGACTGTATTGAAAACTGCTGAAGAGGGACATCTTCCCCTTCTGAGCAATTGAGCATAATTCTTGGAATCATGAAAATGTCATACAATGAGATTCTCATGGAGACAAATTCCTTGAGTGTCCAATTACATTTGGCTAATAAAGAATAAGGAAAGAAGAATTTGGGGGAAATCTTGAGACGTTGCATTCTGGAACTCGTTCCACAAATGTCCTGGATTGCTGATTTCAGTATTTGTTAGCAAGACAAATCTCTCATTGCTCCGGAGAGCAATATTTTGTTGCCAACGATCAGCTAGCAACAATCCTCTCTCTCTGCAGATGACTTTGACTGATGAAAGGATAAGTCTATTGTGTATCTTCAATGATTCAAAGATATTGGCCTCTGTATGTAATGAAGGAGAGGAACCCCTTATCTTTCCATGTTGCAAAATTATGCTGACAATATTTTTTATTATTTATTTACCATAATGTTGTACATTGCCGTTCTCACCTCAGAACAATTTAAAATCCATGCCGGCTTCTCCATTGAGTTGTAGGAAATTG